TTTTTTCTTCTTTGACTCTCGCACTACTTTTTTTTCTTTTCTCTCCCACCTTTTTATGTAACTCACAATTTGAGAGACCCAAAAAAGATAAATTTTTTGTCCTCAGTCCCACGGTCGGCGCCAGTGATGGAAACCACTTTTTTGGGGCGTCGACCCGACAAACTCGGTACTAGGTGGGCACCGCATTGAATAGTGAAATCTGGTAAATAAATAAATAAATAAAGCGGAGAGAAAGTATTTATACGTGGAAACCCAAATCGAGAGAAAACCACAGGCCCTTTTAGGCGGTGCCATGCCAAGGGGATGAACTTTTATTAATCTCAAAGGAATTTACATATACATCATTGTAGGAGCTTGGAGCCATTAATGGAGCTCCAAGCTTAAAGAAGAAGAAGAAGAAGAAGAAGGAAGAATAGTAATACTCGGTAGGAGTTTGTAGGAATTGGTCTCCTCTTCTCCTCTCCGTAGCTTCTTATAGTAGGAGGAAGGAATGAGGTAGTGGGAGACAAGGGATTATGCCTGGGTCCCGCCAAATATATCTTTTGGCCATTGTCAATATTTTTATATCTCATCAATTTATCTTCTTCGTCTTCATATCTCTGCCTCCGTTTTGAATAATTTATCTGATTGATATCTTGGGCGAGATAAAATTGGGTTTACTTGTACTGTTTAAATAATATTGGATTAGGTAAAATCCATAATCCATCAGCGTGTATTTTAAACACACGGCATACGAATTTTGAAATATATTTTACGCTATGGGTATATATGTCATTAACCATTTTAAAATTTAGAATACCACAACTATCCCCAACCCATTGTTCCTTTGTATGCAAAAGGGGTAAATTTATATCGCAAATTATTTTTAAATTCTCATTTAAATGAGTGCAGAGTCAATTTAGTAAGATCATTTTCAGATAGGTGGAGTATTCCACAAAATGAAACACTAACATTGATTAGTACTCCCTCCGTCATATTTTAAATTGCCTCTTTGCCTTTTTTCTCCGTCCCAAAATAAATAGTCTGTTAGTTGTTTTCGTAAACTTTTAAAAATAAAATACCTAAACTATCCCTAAAATAAGTCACTCTTCTTCACCTTATCTTCTCATTCATCATCACCCCTTCTAAAAAGTAATGACAATTTCGGAAAATCAACTCTATTTTTTATTTTCCTTAAATATGCCCAAAAATCAAAACAGACGATTTAAATTGGGACGGAGGGAGTAAAAATTTAGGGGCTTGAGAGTGTGTAGTTCGGGAGCGTCGCTGCAAAGTGATTTTTTTTATGTGAACTGAGTAATAAACTTGGGTACTCTTGCGCGATTCTGTAATTGTTTGTTAAGCATTGCTCAAATATCGATGATTACATATTTCACATCATTAGCTTAAATCAAGGGTAGCTTAATTTATGCCAATCTGATTTTCACACAAACATCTCACGTCAATATTACGGAGTACCTAATGACTCTTTACGCTTATAGCTATATAAAATGCTTAACAATTCCATATCCCAATGAATTAAAGATCATTATTCATTACATGACAACTCAAACCAACATTCAAAATCCAAAATTTCTCGCCAGAGTCCTAACAAATACTATAACAACTACAAACAAGGCCTAAATCTAGTTATTGAGATTTGAAGCTCATAGTTTATCCATCAATGGCTAAGAAAGTATGAAACGACACAAGTAGATACCGTAAAGTAGAGAAAAAGTGTATCCTAAAAGAAATCATTATAAATGAATGGTCAAATTTACACATTACGTGAGAACACTTGCATTGTACAAAGAATTCAAACCAAAGGTCTGTCATCTTCTCTGTAGGTGTAAAACCAATACTAATATGGCCGCTTGTTTGGGAATGCTTTGCGGTTGGGAATCCATTCCAATACGAAAGCCTTGCAGCAAAACTTTACACTGAAGAAGACCCAGATGGCCTTTTTGGAGATGCTGTTATTTCGCTAAAGTTGGGAATTCCATCATCAATGTCATTTACCAAGCTCTCTGGATTGTGGGTTGAAATTGCATCCTTCAACTTCTGGAGCTGCAGAGGCCAGATCGTGTTTTGGATGAAAATAAATTATGGCGAGCACCCTTCCTATTTATTATTAAGTAAAATATGGCAGTTACACCTTCCTATTTATTACTCCCTCTCTCCCAAAAAAAAGACTATTTTGTTTTTGGGACATCCCAAAAAAAGCTTCGTCTTTCCTTTTATGGAAAACTTTAAGCGGCTCACAATATTTTTCTCTCCCCGGCATCACTTTCAACCACACATTTTTTCACTTTCCTTAACTTTTGTGTAACGTCAAACTGTGAGCATTTTTTTTTGGACGGAGGGAGTATGTAGTATAAATATGTCAGCCACACCTTCCAATTTCAAGTAAACTTGGTTCATTCTGATGGTTGCAGTCTTAAACATGCATTGTTTGTTGTGAACTCAGTAATAAAATGAAACGTGTGCAACTTGTTAGTACTCCCTGTTCTTCACAATAAGTTTCACATTGGTTGAAATTTTTGTTTGACAATATTCATAATTCTATATAATGAAGAGAACATATTTTATAGTAGGAACCAAGAGAGCATTTAGTATGACAGTTCTTCTGCATATCAATTCTCAATCATTTAATTTCTAATGCTTCCGAGAGGGGTGTTAATTAAAGGGGGTGTAGATGTAGTATTACTCTTTTGTTTTTGCAAAATATTAGGATATCTAAAAATAATGAGATGTCCCATCACAATGGAAACATATATATTACCAAAAATATACTCACAATGGCACATTTTAACATTCAAAAGCAAAGTTGCCATCACTATTTCAGGATTTTTCACGTTCATGTGGAAGGAATATATGACAATTATGGTCTTAGACGTGTCATCTTATGAAAGTCACAACAAAAATGTCATTCGACGTGAAACACTAGCACTATGTTTTTTGGATGACCATAGTGTTCATGAAATTTATACAATTAATTGCCTCTATAAATTTAATGCTACCGACCCCTACTAGTTAGAATTAAGGAATTAAGGTGCAAACAATGATGATTAAGCAGTTTAATATCAGATATGTTAACAACTGTGGTTTTATGGATGTGAATGTCACAAGGTTGTGAAAGGGATTCAAATAACAACTAATGCAGTTGACTAGAAAGTAACATATGAAGTACACATGGCTCAAATTGTAGTACCTTGGCAAGAGAGCAAGAAAATGAATCCACCAGGCCATTGGCTCCTCTGTAGAACTGGAAAAATGGAAGTACCTTAACATTTAAGCTTTTGCACAAGGACTTGTTCTCATCAAAATTCACCTTCAAGAAAAGTATTTCTGGGTGTTCTTCTGCGAGCATGCAAAGCTGATCAACAGGGAATATGAAATAAGCCTTTACAAACAATGGAAGAAAGACAATTTGTTTTTTTCCAATGTATAGTATAATCTGTGATAATGACAGTCTGGATGAGTCACAGCCTTACGGACCAAAAAAAGAAAGAACTCACCTTGGGAAACAATGTTCGACAAGAAGCACACCATGTGCCATAAAAGTCAACAATAACTAATCTATCTCCAGCTTTACTTAAAGAATCTAAAAATTCTTCTGCAGAATAGATGTCAATCATATTTGGGACACTCTTATCCCACCATTTTGGTTGTTCCGTCTCGGCAGTGGTTGCATGCGCCTAACACCCAAAGCAAACAAAAAGTAACTTTCCATCTCCACTTCTATGATAAGTTATGGTCTATTTTTACAGCAAACTGGTCATTCATGATTTAAAAAAAAACAAACAAAACCTTGAAAATTCAATTCATTGGGTTATAAAACCCACCCCCCCCCCCACCCAGTTGCTCCAGCTAATATAGTCCTCTACGGGGATTCACCAAACCAATAAAGTAGCTAATTGAAAGAACCCGACCGAAAACAGCCAATTTGAGGAATTGGACATTCGATACACAATAAGCATCGAATTGCCATAGTTATTGAGAAAGAAAATAACTCTGCCAGTGAATAAGGTAAAAAAAGTTACTGAAATCTGAAAACACCTTCAGCAGAATTAATCCTCTTTCATTGAGGCGATCGGATGGGACAGAAACACGACAGCGAGGAACCCTTATACCACATGGGATCAATTTAGAAGCGATGGATGATGGAAGATAGAAGTGTACTGGCGCTGTCCAGAGATGAGAAAATCGGCTAAAGTTGGAAACCCTAGATGAACTTACAGAGTGTCCCTGCATACTATACTCCGGCTCGTCTTCACATCACCTGTACATACAGGAGAGATGTTTATACTCTACCATTGCCAAATCTAGGAAGCATCCGTTTCTGACACTTATTTTTTTTACTTATTATGTATTTGTCTTTTTTATTTTGTTTATTAAAATTAGTAAAATTTGACTTTCAATTAAATAAAAATGTTATTATATATTGATACAGAAATAATTTTATTAGATTTATTATATAAAATATTTTCAAGTTATTTCTTATGTAATTAATATACAACATATATTTCATTTTATTATAGGTCAAAGGTTTAAAATACTTGACTGAAAAAAGAAAAAACTGGACAAATACTCCGGGACGGAGGTAGTACTATCTCACTCCACCATAGATAATTCTAATTATGCATTACGAAGTTTGATCGACTTAAATTTCAATTTAATTTATTTGATTATAAAGGTAAAATTTAAAAATAAAATTTACATAGTACAAGAGTACATGAGAAGTTATACGAAACTAGAGGTTTCAAGATTATACTCCCTGTGTCCCAAAATGTAAGCAACATTTTAAGTGACGTGCGAAATATCATCTCTTTTAAAAAAAAGTAAAAATTACAATGTTCAAGGCGCGACAAGAATATTTTATTTTATCAAATGGTCAATCAAAATGAGTAAACAAACAAAAGTTATCGAGAAGTCAAAATAATAACTATTGCTTACATTTTGGAATGGAGGGGGTACTATTTAATAAAATGAGTATTAAAAATAAATAAACAAAGTGAGTTAAGTTTAACTACGTGAATGGTATCTAAGAAAATCTATGGGAGACAAAGGGAGTATCCTCTTAAAATCATACCAGACGTATCAGATCCAGTCAGATAAGAAGCGGTCTAGACGTTGAAACAACGTTTTTAGACTTAAACGAAGCCCGAACTTGCTTCCCGTTTTGACACGCATCACAAATGGTGTCTTATTCAAACTTAAGTTTTGGAATGCCAATTACTAAGTTTTGTGAAACCAATTTGTTCAAAAGGTTCATGTTCATATGAGCTACCCTTCGGTGCCATAACCAAGTGTCTTCCTCTTTACTCATGAGGCACTTAGCAAAGCCGGAAGCTGATTTGTCTAAGTTAACCATATAGATATTATCGATTCTATCACCACGTAGAATAACCTTATTATCACTAAGGCGTTCTACCATGCATGATTTTGAATCGAAGGTCACACGATTTCCCTTGTCACATAATTGACTTATGCTCAAGAGATTGTGTTTAAGACCTTTAACTAGCAAGACATTATCTATAGAGGAGTCATTGGATTTACCTACCGAACCAATGCCGATAATTTTTCCTTTGCTATTGTCTCCAAAGATCACGTTCCCTCCTTTAGCGAGTTTAATTTGGAGAAACTTGGATGCATCCCCGGTCATGTGCTTGGAGCTTCCGCTATCAAGGTACCAAAGTACACTTGATGCCTTCAAGCACACCTATGAAGCACATCAATGAGTTTTAGGTACCCAATTTACGTTGGGTCCTCGTGTGTTAGGTGTGTGATGGTAGTGTGCTTGATTTTGTGATAGGTGCCTATGCCTAGTGTAACAGACGGGAGCAATATGGCCTATCATATTACAATAATGGCAAACTACGTTGGGGTTGTACATGTGCCTAGGTTCATAATAGTTAGAGGGTCTAACCATATTGTTCCTATTTTCTGAAAAAGATGGTCTTTGAAAGTTTTGAAATTGACTTTTTCTAGGTGCTCTAACATTATTTCTTCTATTTTGAGAAAAATTGGTTTTATGCACAAAATCATTTTTCTTAGGTTGCCTACCATGAACATTTTCATTCCTAGGTTTTAGTCTAGGTTGACTAGGTTTTCTATTATTCTGATTTTTAAGTTTCTTACGTTGAGCCTTACGTGGTTGTCTATGTGGTTGCTCAACGTTTTCTTTAACCTTAGCTTCGTTTTTATCAAAGCATATTCCTTCCTTAGAAAAATGCATAGTGTCAAGGAGTAAATTTAAATCTTTGTGCGGAGTATTAAACTTCTTGACCGTGCTCTCAAGTTTAGTGACTTGTTCTTTTAAAGTCTTACAAGATTCACATTCGCTTGAGGAACTTTCCGGTTTGTCAGCGCTTCTTTTTCCAAAAAAATTGTTTTCTTGTTTTAATTTTTCATTTTCTTTTTCCAATTTTTCAAAATTGTTTTCAAGTGTAGAAAGACGTTTCTTTAAAGATTTATTCGTTTTGGAAGCGCTAACAAATTCTTCATAAAGTTCATGAAGTGCTTCTTGCATTTCTTCAAAAGTATAAGAGTCGGAAGAAATGGTACATACCTCTTGGACGTCGTCGCTTTGATCTTCGTGCGCCATGAGGCAAAGGTTTGCAGCTTCATCCTCCTCTTGGTCGGTTGATTCGTCGCCGGAATCGCCACCCCAAGAGATGTAAGCCCTTTGCTTCTTGAAGCCGGACTTGTCCTTGCCATGCTTGGCCTTTGGACACCTCGGCTTGATGTGGCCAATCTCGCCACAACCGTAGCACTTAGGAGGACCGTCATGCTTCCTTCCCTTCCGCTCAAATTCTTTCTTCATGAATTTGTGGAACTTTTTGATGACGAGTCCAAACTCGTTGTCATCGTCGCCTGAGACCTCTTCCACCGGTTCCTTGGTGGCTTTGAGAGCTATTCCCTTTTTCTTTTGTTCATCCAAAGACGGGGTTAGAATAGTAGATTCATAACTTTTAAGGTTACCTCTTAGCCCGTCGATGGTGACGTTGGAGACTCCGATGGATTCATAGATTGCATTGGCTTTTGATCTCCATTCAGGGGTGAGACTCCGCAGGATTTTCCTTACGAGATCCTTGTTGGCATATATCTTCTTAAGAGCATGAAGATCATGTATGATCTTTGAAAACCAATCAAACATGTCGTCGATTTTCTCATCTTCCTTCATTCAGAACATTTCGTACTCTTGGGTGAGAAAATCTATCTTGGCTTCACAAACTTGATCGGTACCTTCGTACGTCACTTCAAGCTTGTCCCACATCTCCTTGGCGGTTGTGCAGCAGGAGATCTTTCGGTAGTCGTCGGGATTGACCGCACAATATAGCATATTGATGGCCTTTGCATAATTCTCCACCTTCTTGATGTCTTCGACATCAAACTCGAACTCAGTCTTTGGGACCGTGGTTTCTCCCACTTTCTTCATTGGGATTTGCTCGACATTTTTATGACCAACCACAATTGGAAGTTGGTGGAATGGATATAGATTCTCATCCGTTCCTTCCAATAGGAGTAGTTGGTGCCATCAAAGAGCAGTGGCCTAGAGGTGGATTGCCCTTCGCCAATACCTGCGTACAAATTTCTAGAAGAAGAGCCCATGATCTTATTCCTCTCAAATTGTTAAGTCTGGAAGAGAGAGTTAGGCTCCGATACCAATTTTTAGAAAAACGTCCCAACGCTAGAGGGGGGGTGAATAGCATTTGAAACGAAAATGACGCATGAATAAAAAAATTAAAAGCGTAAAGTAAAGAGCAAGGAAGAGGCACACCGTTTTTACCCTGGTTCACCACAACTTATGGTTAGTCCAGCCTCCCGAGAGACTCTCTCGAGCTACACTAACAACGTTAAGCTTAACGGTGCTTAACAAACCCGTACAACTTGAGAGTTCGAGTCACACGAACCTCAACGAACCTTCAAAGGAAACAACCCTTCCTTCGAACTACTCAAGAGAAAAAAATTTCTCTTATCAAGTGTCTAAGAACACTAAATCACTCAAGAACGGTACTCTCTTTTAGAGTGGATAATGAGTAACTAAGAACGCTCAAGAACACAACACGAACTTCACAAAAATGGCTTTCGAAAAGCTATGAACAATGTATGAATGATATGCAATGAAAGAATAAGAGTTGTGAAGTAATGTGATATGTAAAGCAGACCCAAACACCCCATTTTATAGTGGGAAAATAGGCTCCAACGGATCAAAACATTTAAGTGGAGATTGGCACAATTTGTGGGATTTGATTAAAATTGGATCTCCTGAAAATCAGCCAGACGCGTTGTCCATGACTTGGACACCGCTGTTCTAGGATAAGTTTTTGAAAATTGGGAAGCAACGGTCATGCCAACAACGATGTCCAAAAACCCCTACATCGTTGTTTTGGCTGTTGACTTCCAAACAAGGAAAGTTTTTGCCATAAATTTCTTCCAACGGTCAGGTGCCTACATCGATGTTCATTACTTGAACATCGCTGCTCAGGCCTGACTTTGAAGGGGAAGGAATTGGCCTGACATCGCTGTTGCTGGGTCAATAGCACTGTCTAAGAACTTTCTGCCAAGGCACTTCTTTTTTTTGGCTTAGGTTGGACAGCGATGTAAGGTGGTCTACATCGATGTTCCAGATGTTTTTGGAAACCCAACCTTGGCTCAACAGCGATGTCTAACATCCAACACCGTTGTTGGAAGACTCAACTCCAAATCATGGTTTTCAGCTCCCCATTCCGGACAGCGCTGTTGGTTACTCCAACATCGTTGTGGGGCTTGTTCAACCAGACCCATGATTGGTTTAGTCAGGCCGTTAGCCGATGTCAAAAATCTAAGTTCTCCAAAGTAAAAACCAGGTATTGAAAACATTTGTTTAATGCATTTTTCTAAGAAATCAAGTAAAAACATCTTGAAAACCACGTCATTTAGATAAAAATCACGGCTAGCCAAGTTTACGCCGTTTCGCATGGTTTTTACTAAACGACCGAAAATGAAGGGCGGTTTTTGAAGTGTTTTTGTTAGAGAACTATTTAAATATTCCCATAAGTAAAAACCAATCATAAAATGTTGAAAACTACTTGGTTGGTTCGGACGCCAAAAACCAACGCCGATAACCGAATGCCGAACGCCGGTTTCTGAAAACTGAACTCCGGATGGCTTGGTTTTTGGTTTGGGCGAACACCAAATGTTTTATGTGAAACGACATAAACTTGGTTAGCCGTGGTTTCTACTCAAATGACGTGGTTTTTAAATTGTCTCACTTGATTTCTTAGCGAAATACATTAAATAAGTATTTTTAACACTTGGTTTTTTATTTTGGAGAACTTTGCTTTTTTCAGTCGGTTTTAGCATCGGTTGGCTAGGCCATGGTTCAGGCAAAAACCATGGGTTTTTTACTAACCATCAACCCAGCAATGGGAAGTGTTACCCATCGATGGGTAAGCGGACCTCCAGCCCAACTATATTCCAGAACCATGCCAAACAGCGATGGGAAGTTCTACCCATCGCTGTGCAAGCCTTTGTCCAGTATAAACACAAGGCAGAATGCCCTTACCCAGCGATGGGGACTTTAACCTATCGATGGGAACCCAGCGATGGGAGGGCATACCCATCGCTGGTTAGGCATGACCATTGTGAGTCATTTAAGGCTGATTCTTTCCTTGTTTAAAAGTCAACTTCCCACTCAGCAATGGGAAGTGTTTACCCATCGATGGGTAGGTGACCGTTGCCTTCAAAATTGAAGGAAAATTGGTTTACCAGCGATGGGTAATTTCATACATCGCTGGGAAAGCCAATATCCTGCAGATCCACATTTTAATATCAATCCCAGAAATCATGACAATCACCCCTTCAATGCCTTGATCCGTTGGAGCCTATTTTGGCATAAAAAGGGGTGTTTGGGTCTGCTTTACTCACCAATTCACTTCACATTATTCAAATTATCATTGCATTCAAACAACATCATATATACACACACACACACACACACACATATATATGTGTGTGTGTGTGTACTCCAGTGCCAATGATATATATATATATATATATATATATATATATATAATATAATATAAAAAATGGTTCTAGAGAGAAGGGAGAGAATTCCGGCCAATTCTCCGGCATATCTACCGGAAAAGGGAACCAAGAAAAATCCTTCACAATTTATCAAACTATTTTCTCAACTTTTTGCTAAAAATTCAGTCAAAGAGCTGGATAGAAGGGAAGGGTTCTATAATGGAATCCCTTCAATCAGCTTTACGGTAGAAGAAGAGGACATACTGGAGAGCAAAATGAACTTCTCAGCAGTTGGAAGGTTCAATAAGGAGCAGCACTTATCAACATTAAAGGCATTCATGCTAAGGGTGGGTTTCAGCAATTTCAAGATTAGAAGAATCAACTCAAGGGACATACTGTTTACTTTCAAGAATGAAGATGACTACATCAGATTTTTACAGAGAAGAAAATGGTACGATAATGGAAGCACTTTTTACGTTTTTAAATGGACTAGAGAGTACAATCAATATACAGATTCTCCAATTTTCCCAGTCTGGATTACATTGGAGAAATTGCCTCTGCATCTGATTGACTTTCAGGCTCTCTTCTCCATAGCATCTCTGGTGGGTAGACCTGTAAAATTAGATGATTACACTGTTAATAAAGATAGAAGGGAGGGGGCTAGGATCTGCGTAGAGATGGATATCTCTGTACCAGCCCCAAAAAAATTGCACATACGAATGGGGGGAAAGGATTTTTACACAAATTGCAGATATGAAGATAAGCCTCACTTTTGCAAAGAGTGTAATCTTCTGGGTCACTCTGATGGGCATCATTGCCAAACTCAGATGAGTACTCCCACCGGAAAAAGTCCCTCCGGCAAGGGTACTCTGGGCTCCAACAGTGAGAAGGATGGTAACTGGGAAACCATTAAGAGCAAAAAGACAAAGGGTAAAAGCCGTGCACATAACCCCCAGGAGGAAAGAAATCAGACAGTAAAGGGCCCATCAAAATTTGAATGGAAAAAGAAACCCACTACAGGCCAAAACAATAGGTTCAATATTTTGAACCTAATGGACTGCACTCCAAGCCTGGTAGGTCCTAACAATTCAACAATTATGTCTACTTATGAATATGAGGCATCTCTTAATCAAGTACTGGACTTCTCAAAGGAAAACTCAGAAATGATGGGGGACTCATCTTTATTTCCATCCCTTAAAGAGGCAAAGGATTACTTTTATAGAACCACTGGGGCACAAGCTAAGGTCTCGGAAATTGGGGGAGGGGATACATTTTTCTCAAAAAGAAGTAGAAGAGTCTCCTTTGATGACTGTCTTAACCATCACTCACCAGAGAAGGGTTTAGCTATGCTAGTTGAAGTTATGAATCTCACCAGCCATCAAACTGAAGCAGACACAATGGTAGAGACAGGAAGACACTCCGACGATGATGGTTGCAACGAGGTCATGGACAGATCCAAACTGGAAGCTAGGAACTTCCAAATCCCTGCAGCTAATGCAACACCATTATCAGTCCCAAGGATGAGGAAAAATAAACTTAAAGAGCAGGG